TGTGCTGGAATGAAGTTCGAACTGAAATAAAGCCAAATTAAAGACGTTACCACGACATAGATGAATAATAATGAGTTGAAAGTCCACCCGCCGCTATCCGCCGCATGTAAGCGCCTAATTTGTGATTGTGATGCGTTGCTGGAAATGAAGTTCGAACTGAAATAAAGCCAAATTAAAGACGTTACCACGACATAGATGAATAATAATGAGATGAAAGCCCACCTGCCGCTATCCGCCGCATGTAAGCGCCTAATTTTGTGATTGTGCTGGAATGAAGTTCGAACTGAAATAAAGCCAAATTAAAGACGTTACCACGACATAGATGAATAATAATGAGATGAAAGCCCACCTGCCGCTATCCGCCGCATGTAAGCGCCTAATTTGTGATTGTGAGTTCGATTGTGCTGGAAAGAAGTTCGAACTGAAATAAAGCCAAATTAAAGACGTTACCACGACATAGATGAATAATAATGAGATGAAAGCCCACCTGCCGCTATCCGCCGCATGTAAGCGCCTAATTTGTGATGTGATGCGTTCGATTGTGGAATGAAGTTCGAACTGAAATAAAGCCAAATTAAAGACGTTACCACGAAATAGATGAATAATAATGAGATGAAAGCCCACCCTGCCGCTATCCGCCGCATGTAAGCGCCTAATTTTGATGTGATGCGTTCGATTGTGCTGGAATGAAGTTCGAACTGAAATAAAGCCAAATTAAAGACGTTACCACGACATAGATGAATAATAATGAGATGAAAGTCGACCCGCCGCTATCCGCCGCATGTAAGCGCCTAATTTGTGATTGTGATGCGTTCGATTGTGCTGGAATGAAGTTCGAACTGAAATAAAGCCAAATTAAAGACGTTACCACGACATAGATGAATAGTAAGCGCCTAATTTGTGATTGTGATGCGTTCGATTGTGCTGGAATGAAGTTCGAACTGAAATAAAGCCAAATTAAAGACGTTACCACGACATAGATGAATAATAATGAGATGAAAGCCCACCTGCCGCTATCCGCCGCATGTAAGCGCCTAATTTGTGATTGTGATGCGTTCGATTGTGCTGGAATGAAGTTCGAACTGAAATAAAGCCAAATTAAAGACGTTACCACGACATAGATGAATAATAATGAGTTGAAAAGTCCACCCGCCGCTATCCGCCGCATGTAAGCGCCTAATTTGTGATTGTGCTGGAATGAAGTTCGAACTGAAATAAAGCCAAATTAAAGACGTTACCACGACATAGATGAATAATAATGAGATGAAAGCCCACCTGCCGCTATCCGCCGCATGTAAGCGCCTAATTTGTGATTGGATTGTGCTGGAATGAAGTTCGAACTGAAATAAAGCCAAATTAAAGACGTTACCACGACATAGATGAATAATAATGAGATGAAAGTCCACCCTGCCGCTATCCGCCGCATGTAAGCGCCTAATTTGTGATTGTGACGCTTCGATTGTGCTGGAAAGAAGTTCGAACTGAAATAAAGCCAAATTAAAGACGTTACCACGACATAGATGAATAATAATGAGTTGAAAGTCCACCCGCCGCTATCCGCCGCATGTAAGCGCCTAATTTGTGATTGTGCTGGAATGAAGTTCGAACTGAAATAAAGCCAAATTAAAGACGTTACCACGACATAGATGAATAATAATGAGATGAAAGCACACCCTGCCGCTATCCGCCGCATGTAAGCGCCTAATTTGTGATTGTGATGCGTTCGATTGTGCTGGAAAGAAGTTCGAACTGAAATAAAGCCAAATTAAAGACGTTACCACGACATAGATGAATAGTAAGCGCCTAATTTGTGATTGTGATGCGTCTGATTGCAGTGGAAAGAAGTTCGAACTGAAATAAAGCCAAATTAAAGACGTTACCACGACATAGATGAATAATAATGAGATGAAAGTCCACCCGCCGCTATCCGCCGCATGTAAGCGCCTAATTTGTGATTGTGATTCGTTCGATTGTGCTGGAATGAAGTTCGAACTGAAATAAAGCCAAATTAAAGACGTTACCACGACATAGATGAATAATAATGAGATGAAAGTCCACCCGCCGCTATCCGCCGCATGTAAGCGCCTAATTTGTGATTGTGACGTTCGATTGTGCTGGAATGAAGTTCGAACTGAAATAAAGCCAAATTAAAGACGTTACCACGACATAGATGAATAATGAGATGAAAGCCCCACCGCGCATTTAAGCGCCTAATTTGTGATTGTGATGCGTTCGATTGTGCTGGAATGAAGTTCGAACTGAAAGAAAGCCAAATTAAAGACGTTACCACGACATAGATGAATAGTAAGCGCCTAATTTGTGATTGTGATGCGTTCGATTGTGCTGGAATGAAGTTCGAACTGAAATAAAGCCAAATTAAAGACGTTACCACGACATAGATGAATAATAATGAGATGAAAGCCCACCTGCCGCTATCCGCCGCATGTAAGCGCCTAATTTGTGATTGTGATGCGTTCGATGTGCTGGAATGAAGTTCGAACTGAAATAAAGCCAAATTAAAGACGTTACCACGACATAGATGAATAATAATGAGATGAAAGTCCACCCGCCGCTATCCGCCGCATGTAAGCGCCTAATTGTGATTGTGGTTCATTGTGCTGGAATGAAGTTCGAACTGAAATAAAGCCAAATTAAAGACGTTACCACGACATAGATGAATAATAATGAGATGAAAGTCCACCTGCCGCTATCCGCCGCATGTAAGCGCCTAATTTATGATTGTGCTTCAATGAAGTTCGAACTGAAATAAAGCCAAATTAAAGACGTTACCACGACATAGATGAATAATAATGAGATGAAAGCCCCCCTGCCGCTATCCGCCGCATGTAAGCACGTAATTTGTGATTGTGATGCGTTCGATTGTGCTGGAATGAAGTTCGAACTGAAATAAAGCCAAATTAAAGACGTTACCACGACATAGATGAATAATAATGAGTTGAAAATCCACCCGCCGCTATCCGCCGCATGTAAGCGCCTAATTTGTGATTGTGACGCGATCGATTGTGCTGGAATGAAGTTCGAACTGAAATAAAGCCAAATTAAAGACGTTACCACGACATAGATGAATAATAATGAGATGAAAACCCCCTGCCGCTATCCGCCGCATGTAAGCGCCTAATTGTGATTGCGATGCGTTCGATTGTGCTGGAAAGATGTTCGAACTGAAATAAAGCCAAATTAAAGACGTTACCACGACATAGATGAATAATAATGAGATGAAAGCCCACCTGCCGCTATCCGCCGCATGTAAGCGCCTAATTTGTGATTGGACGGTCGATTGTGCTGGAAAGAAGTTCGAACTGAAATAAAGCCAAATTAAAGACGTTACCACGACATACTGATGAATAATA